CACTCACTTATTCTAACATAAAGGTCAATGACATTACCTTTCCTTCATGAATCAAGTGCCCTCACACAACAAAAGAGAGTAGTTCCACACACAATAAAATTTAAGAACAATTAGGAACTCAAGATAGAAAAAATTCACTCACTCTCAGAAATAACATTCATATGCCACAAAGATGCACCATAGGCTTGCCCGTAGTGTACTACTCTACTAATCGAGCTCATTCAGTCTAGGATCAAGTAGAACTTTCATTGGTTGTAATGTAGTTCGGGTAGGATACATTTGGATATAATGGTGACTACACCTCCCTAAGCACTTTAATACATACACTTTAACATTTAAACCCCATACTTATGTCAAACCATAACTCCACATTCACATCAACGTATATTAACTCCATACTTCTTTAAGCACAATTACATCAAGATTTACCACTATCAAGGAATACTTTTCATAGCAATACAACTATTTTTTCCTTTCTTTCTTTTTCAATTCAAGTGGCTTTTATTTTTTTTAAAACAGTGCACCTTTCTCCTTATTTCATTAGTTCCACTAAAAAGCCAAACCAACCACGCCACACTTTAACTTTTACAAAGTTCATAACAATTTAAGTGCTCATGAGAGGTGAAAGGGTTCAAATAGATGGTTAATTCAAACAAATGGGTAAGGCTTGTAATGTGGTTGCCAAAGAAACAGGATTACTGGCTCAAAGGGGTTAACTATGATATATAACAATTAGGCAGTAAACTATATATATCTGGCTCAACAAAGAAACACCTATATCACTTCCAAGACTGAACAACGCTACTATTTCGCTTTGCAAACACATGGGGCACGTTCTAGACATCAAATGCAATGCACAGAATAACACACAAACCTCAAACACACATAGTACATAACTCACCCAGGATTGGACTCATCAAGATACTCTACTCAAATCAGTTAAGCAAAGTTACGATCATACGATTTAAGGTACTTATACAAGAGTCAAAAACTGAGCCTAAGCGTCACAACCAAAGTACTCACTATTCTCAAGGCATAACAAAGTCAAGAGATATTGCTCCAATTCAATTCATAGCACAATGGTTCCTACTCCTAAAAAAATAAAACTACCTACACCCGATTCAAACAAAACCCTTGGAAAATAACCGCGACACAAAGAAAAACCAAGGGGGAATTACTACACTACCTACAAAGAAAATCTTTTTGTCCTTTTTCTTTAGACTTAAGTCCCACAAGGAAAGTGTCTAGGAGATCCATCGTCGGGAAAAGCCCAATTTTTCCACTTTTTTTTTTCGATTTTACAATTTTTTTTAAAATACTACACAACTACGGAAAAAAATTTAATATTTTTCTACATCCTACTACTAATTATCTAGAGAATTCTCCCACCCCACAATTAAAAGAGTGCAGTGTCCCCAGTGCACAAATAAACCAAAAAAATAACGAGGGTGGACAAGACACTCCCTGAAAGGCCAAAGGCCGAAGCAATAGCGGCTCATGGGTACTCAGACTTCACCCAGGCATGGTCCTTGTGTGGCACCCCAGACTTAGTTCTGACCATCTAACTTGCTTTTGCACTTCCAATGGCTTTGCCTCCTATGCTTATAAGCCTACAAAACAAAAACATACTACAACAATAATAAGAAAAAAAATACAAATTAACGAAAGCAGTAAAGATGGGTTGCCTCCCAACAAGCGCCTGATTTAACATCGGGACACGACGCATAATCTCGCTTACTCATCATCGAGTACAACGTTGGTCTTCTCACGATTGATTATTCCTACCTAGTAATGCTTTAATCTGTGTCCATTTACTGAAAAATTTCTTTCACCATTCAAAGCTCGCATCTCAATTGCACCATAAGGAGTAACTCTCACTACCTCAAACGGGCCTGACCATCTCGATTTTAACTTTCTAGGAAATAGATTGTCTAGAAATGAACAATAATACCTGTTGGCCTGGCTCGAAGTGACGCGGTTTGATATGCTTATCATGCCATCTTTTTATCTTTTCTTTGTAAAGCTTAGCATTTTCATAAGAGTGCAGCCTGAACTCATCTAACTCATTCAACTGTAAGAGTCTTTTCTTGCTCGCGGCTTCAAGGTCCATATTTAACTTCTTAATGGCCCAATATGCTTCGTGTTCAAGTTCAACAGGCAAGTGACATGCCTTCCCATAAACTAGCCTATACGGCAACGCCCCAATTGCCATTTTGTATGCGGTTCTATGTGCCCACAAGGCATCATCTAACTTTGCAGCCCAATCTTTTCTATTCGCACTCACCGTCTTCTCTAATATTTTCTTTATTTCTCGATTAGACACCTCAACTTGTCCACTTGTTTGAGGATGATATGCCATCACAACTCTATGGCAGACTCCATATTTAGCTAGAAGGTTATTCAACAACTGATTGCAAAAGTCTGTCCCTTCATCACTAATCAGAGCACGTGGAGTCCCGAATCTCAAAAATACGTTCTCTTTCAAAAAACGCGACTACCACCATGGCATCATTCGTTGGCAATGCGATCGCCTCTACCTATTTTGACACATAGTAAACTGCTAGCAAAATGTATTTGTTTCCTCTAGACAATGGGAATGGTCCCATAAAATCTATCCCCCACACATAAAAAATATCAACCTCCAGGATGTTATTTAAAGGAATTACATGCCTCTTTGTGATTGTTCCTGTTCTCTGATACTGGTCGCACTTCTTAACAAATGCATGGGCATCCTTGAATAATGTTGGCCAGAATAAATCGGATTGTAATACCTTTGTAGCTGTTCTATCGCCTCCATGATGGCCCCATAGGGTTATGCATGACAATCATACAACACTAGTTCAACCTCCTTTTCAGGTATGCATCTCCTCATCATTTGGTCAGCACACTGCTTGTACAAATATGGCTCATCCCAATAGTAGAAGTTCACATCATGTAGAAACCTCTTTCTAGCTTCAGATTCATTTTCAGGAGGAAGTAGCCCGCTCACCAGATAATTCACATAGTCCGCGTACCATGGGGGAGGGTCTTGGGTGATAGCAAAAAGTTGCTCATCAGAAAATACTTCTTTAGTTTGGTCACCCTCCTCCACATGGTCATGATTTTCCAGCCTTGATAGATGGTCAGCTACTTGGTTCTCTGTGCCCTTTCGATGTTGTATTTCCACATCAAATTCCTGCAACAACAAAACCCAGTGCATCTATTTAGCCATAGATTCCTTCTTTGTAAATAATACCTGATTGTTGCATGATCAGTATGGATTATGACTTTTGTTGACACCAAGTATGCCCGAAATTTTTCAAGGGCCCACACCACAACTAACAACTCCTTTTCAGTGGTGGTGTAATCCAGCTGCGCATCATCAAGAGTTTTACTCGCATAGTAGATGGAATAAAACATTTTGTCCTTCTTCTATCCTAGCACTGCCCCAATAGCATGGTCAATTGTATCACACATAAGCTCAAATGGTAAGGACCAATCCAGTGCGATAATAATGGGGGTAACCACAAGCTTCTTTTTAGCTCTTCAAATGCTTTCAAGCAGGCATCGTCAAACATGAAAGTCACATTTTTTTCAAGCAGCCTACACAAAGGCACAACAATTTTAGAAAAATCTTTAATAAAGTGCCGATAGAATCCCGCGTGTCCCATGAAACTTTGGACACCCTTCATAGAAATGGGTGGAGGTAATTTCTCAACCGCTTCTGCCTTCGCTTTATCAAATTCAATGCCGCTCCTACAGTCTGTGACCCAATACGATGCCTTCCTGCACCATAAAATGGCACTTTTCCCAATTTAATACCAGATTTGCTTCTTCACAACGAGCCAACACCGTGCTCAAATTCTACAAACAATCATCATAAGAAGACCCAAAGACTGAAAAATCATTCATAGAATCTTCCACAAATTTTTCCACCATATCGGTGAAAATAGACATCATGCATCTCTGGAAAGTAGCTCGTGCATTACAAAGGCCAGACGGCATTCGCTTGAAGGCGAAAGTGCCATAAGGACAAGTAAAAGTGGTCTTCTCCTGATCCTCTAGGCATATGACAATCTGATTGTATCTCAAATAACCATAAAGGAAGCAATAATATTCATGCCTCGCTAATCTGTCCAATATTTGGTCAATGAATGGAAGTGGGAAGTGGTCCTTGCGGGTTGCTTTGTTCTGCCTTATGCAATCAATGGAAACTCTCCACCCCGTCACAGTGCGAGTAGGAATCAGCTCTTTTTTATCATTCTCAACCACAATCATCCCTCCCTTTTTAGGCACACATTGCACTAGGCTTACCCAGTTGCTGTCAGAGATAGGAAAGATGGTACCTGCATCGAGCCACTTAGTTACTTCCTTCTTCACGACTTCTTTCATGATAGGAATTAATCTCCTTCGCTGCACAACACTGGGGCGGTGTCCATCTTTCATAAAAAATTTATGCATGCAAAATGATGGACTGATTCCTTTGATGTCAGCAATTGTCCACCCTATAGACTTTTTATGCTCGCGAAGTACTCTGAGCAATTTTTCTTCTTGTACATTAGTCAGGCTGGACGAGATAATGGCAATGTTTCTGAGTTCCCCAAATAAGCATAATGCAGATGTGCTGGAAGGGGCTTTAATTCTAGCTTTAGAGCTTCCTCAATAGATGGCTTAGGAAAGGTTAGAGTAACAGGCCTGCCCAACTCCTCAAACTTCCTAAACCCATGGACATAATTGCATGATGTATCAAGTACTTGTTCAATTTCGCCCATCATCTTATCTTTTATGTCTACTTCATTCTCAATCAAAGCTCGTTCAAGAGGATCTATGGGGCTCATATAAGGCACCAATGACATAATATTGCTTTCCACTACAGAAATCATGGATATCTCTTCATAGTGGGCTGGCAATCTAAGTGCTTTGTACACATTAAATACCCCTACTTGATCACCTACTCTCATTGTCATCTTTCCTTCGCATACATCAATAATAGCTCGGCTTGTGTCTAAGAATGGACGCCCCTAAATAAATGGGACTTCCTGATCAAGCTCGTAGTCCAAGATAATGAAATCAGTAGGGAATATGAAAGAACCCACTTGAACTAACACATATTCAGTCACTCCTTCCGGATGAGCAAGGGAGGGATCAGCCAACTGTAAGATTATTGTTGTTTGGCGCGGCTCACCCAAACCCAACTGTCTGAACATAGATAGCGGCATCAGATTGATGCTTGCTCCAAGATCACACAAAGCTCTCCCGAATACATGTTTACCGATTGAGATTTGGATGGTGAAACTACCTGGATCTTTCAATTTCTGAGGTAGCTTGCTTTGGATTCTAGAGCTACATTCCTCAGTGAGTGCCACAGTCTCGAATTCAGTCAGCCTCCTTTTATTTACAACTATGTCCTTGATGTATTTTGAGTATTTGGGCACTTCTTGCAAGATGTCTACCAGTGGAATATTGATTTGCACCCGTTTCAAAATATCAAGAAACTTTTTATATGCGGCATTATCCTTCACTTTCTGCAATCTTTGAGGGAACAGAGGTAGTGGCCTCGCACCTAATGGTGGGGGTTGCTCAGCCACCGCCTCTTCAGCTGGCTTCTCTGGCTCCTTTGATTTTTCTGATTTGATTCTATAGTGGCTGGCCTCTCATTAAAAGTCACCCGTTTTCTCTTTTTCGACTGGACTTCTTCTAATTGTCTCCCATTCCTCAATGACATGCCATTAATGGATGCCTTAGGATTAGCTTCAGTGTCACTTGGAAGAGCTCCAACTTGTCAAGTATTTTGGGCACTGGCAAGTTGTCCCATTTGGCGCTCCAATTTCTCATTGCTACGGCTTGGACCTGTTGGTCAGCCATCAATTTCTTCATCATTTCCTCAAGGTGACTTGTTGAAGTTGCCTGTTGTTCAGCCTGAGGTGGTCTATATTGTTGTTGAGGTGCTTGTGGTCGGTATTGATTTTGAGAGCCTTGGTTTCCACCCCAAGAAAAGTTTGGGTGGTTCCTCCAGTTGGGATTGTAAGTGTTCCCATATTGGTTTGTCTGGCCCTTATTTGCATTAGCCACAAAGTAGACAGACTCTGGATTAAGTGGGCATAAGTCGCTCGTGTGACCTTCTCCACATACTTCAAAATACACTTGAACCTGTTGCACTGGTTGAGCTTGTTGCTTGTTAATAACCAAGGTATTCTGATTGACTTGGTTGGTTAATGTAGAAATCTGCACTGATAATGCTGAGACGACATCTACCTCGAGAACCCCTGCAGATTTTTTTCACCATGTGTCTGCCCATTTCTCCTTGCCAATCCGAATTGCTTTTGGAGAATTTTTTCAATAATGCATATATCCCGTCAAAGCTTTTCTCCAACACTTGACCCTCAGCTGCAGCATCTACCATAATTTTTGTCTCAGGATGTAGCCCTTCTATGAAAGTGAGAGCTAACACTTTGTTTGTCTGATTATGATGAGGACAATCTCTAAGCAGTCCCTTGAACCTCTCCCAAGCTGAGTATAGAGACTCACCCGATTTCTATTTGAAGGCGACTATCTCACTTCTGATCTTTGCATTTTCCCTGAAGGGAAGAACCTTGCCAAAAATTTCCTTGCAAGATCATTCCATGATGTAATAGAATTAGCTGGTTCTGCTTTCAGCCATCTCTTTGCTTCGCCCTACAAAGAGAACAGGATATGCTGTTGTGGATCCTCATGTGGAAGACCCGTAAACTGCCCATTCGCATAAAGTAGCTGGATCATGCTCTGTTTTAGCTCAAAGTGCCCGGTGATCCTGGGCTTCACAATGCTTGAAGTGACATTAGCAATGTTGGCCATTGCCACCTCCTGAACAACCATATGTTGCTTCTCTGCCATGTTCATAGGAAATTGAACAAGTGCCTGAAGATTATTTGTATTCTTTGCTTCCCTCAACCTACTATGAAATGTTCTCTCAGGTTCGGGGTCAAAGCCTTGAAGTCATTCCTGGCTTCTGACCCTGCGCATTCAATTAAAGTTCCTGAGATCAGAGCAACAATCAAGTAACGTTAGACTCGACAAAATAAACAATGAAAGCAAAAACTAGAAAGTAGTCAATATTCAAGTCCCCGGCAACGGCGCCAAAAACTTGTTGCTACCAAACACACACACAAGTATACGTGGTCGTACAAGTAATAAAATGATAAGTGGAGTGTCGAACCCACAGAGACTTGTATCAACTACCCATTAAAATCACCAAGATTATTATTTAATCAAGCCAAAATTGAGTTCAAGAATATGATTATACTAAACTATAATTCTAAGTAGTAACTAAATTATCAAGTAGTAAAATAATTGTGGTGTATTCAGTAGAGACAAATATTCTAGGGTTGTGATCGATTCACTAATTCTATTGTGTTCTAGTTAACTCTCTCTTTCATACAATTCACTCATGGTTGCTAATTAATCGAACAATTGCTCTCATAGCCTTCTCCCAAAGTACTACTCGCCTATTCAAAATAGATTAACGCCTATATTCCTTGGAATCTATCAAGAACGCATTAAGATTACGATATTTAATTAAGCACGGTGATCAGGTATATTCCTATTCAAACCACAAATATGCCCCCCTCCCCTTCCCCTCCTCCCCAAGAGTTAAGATCGTGCTCTCTTCAATTCTTCTCTAATCTAAACATGGCTTCCACAAGCATAGCATAGATAGTAAATAGAACCTAACTGTTGGCCAGACAATTAAGCAATTAATCACAGAATTGATGAAACAACCATATATTAGTGAATTGTAATCAAGGTTAAGTCAACGTTAAACAACAATATTCATGGCTAAATCACAACCCCAGAACTAGAGTTCTTAGCCACTCATGTTCGTAGTAACAATTTTCCAAGTATAGTGCATAAACGAATTACAAAGGAAAGATAAAGGGATGAAGAACTCGATGATTTTCTCCTCCACAAGTTGTCCACGTGATGTTCTTGCCTCCGACTGCAAAACTCCTCCAAAAATGGTGTTTAATGACTATTTATATGTGTAGGGAAAAGACCTAAATGAAATAATCAAGTCCAAAACCACATAGGAGACAAAATAGGCTTTAAAAATCCCGAACACCCTCGCTACAGACCTCGCCTCGCGAGCCAAAACACGAGCTTCACCTCGCGTTACACTGTGCACCGCAACCTGTGACGCGCGCTCCTCCTCGCTTTAGCCTGCGCGATGCAAGCTCAATTGCTAGCTTTAATCCTCTCGTCGCATGCTCTATGCAAGTGACAAGGTTGACTTCTTTGCTGCTTCAATTCTCATTTTCCGATTTCTCTCGTTAGTGCTAGCTGCCTAACTTCTCCATTTCTTTTCTCTTCTTTTCAAATGGTTTCTCTTCTTTGTTTTGCTTTCCTTTGTAATGTTAACTTTTAATCCTTGTATATCCAATAGTCAAATAATCCTAACTCCATTCTTGTAGTGTATAAAGTACACATAAAATCTCTACTTCGCTCCCATTTTCGTCTTCAACTTACCTACACATAAAATAGACTCAATTAAGTACAAATATAGTATAGTTTAGCATTAAAGCCCCAAAATGTAAGGTAAGTAATGCACTAAACTTATGTAGTTATAGCCAAACATCAATAACTTTCATGGTGTGAGAAATGTACTCAAGATATCAGATCAAATGGCACGGCAACACCCTTTGTGCATTTATCTCATCCTCACAAAATATATGAATGTAGGTCAAATTGTCACGGCAACACCCTTCGTGCATTTATCTCTTCCTCACCGAGCATACATATAAAAGTACCAACCAGGTAATAAAATTTCAATATCAATAAGGATAAAGTGGGAGACACACAGGAAGCAATAACGAGCAACACAGTGCATATGGGAAACAATAACAAACTAGATAGACGGCATAGAAGTAATGATAGCATTTAAGGTAGAGGAACATAAATTTTACTAGCTAACATGATAGAAGGCTTATACGAAAGTGTAACAAATGAGAAACGGCACAAATGTAGATATGACAAACAAGAAGGAAAGCATGATATTTGCAAGTTAAACATATAGAAGTCATGTATAACACAACAACAATTGAGATAGAGGACAAGATAAAACAACAACGACAAGTCACATAGAAGACATAGGTGCAATAGTAACAACTCAAGATAAAGGCATGAATGTATATACAAGGATAAGATATTACCACATAAGGCATGTAAGGCCCCATAAAAATTCTTCCTAAAAAACCGAAATCTCGTAGTGCCAAGTTAGGAATATGTGTTAGAAATTTATAAAACTCTTCGCAAGCTCGCCGCGGTTCGGAATTTTTGGATCGATCTGTAAAGTTAAGGAAAAATGTTTTTTAGAAGAGCGCATTTCTGCGGCCCATTATGATGCCGCATAATAACTATGCGGACCGCATAGTTGCCGCAGAGTAAGGCAGAAGGTTGGCAAATTTTGAGGACAACTATGCGGCCAATTATGCGATCGCATAATCGATATGCAGGCCGCATAGTCGTCACATAACTTCCTTTGGCTTTTTGCGAAGGGTAGTTCTGCGGTGCATTGTGCGACCACAGAACAGGTATGCGGATCGCATATTGGTCGCATACCCAGGCAGAAGGTTCAAGCCCTGGGGGGCTACTTTGCGGTCCCTTTTGCGGGCCGCATATCAGTTATATGCGACCGCAGATTGGGTCGGGGCTCCTATTTTCTAACTTTTAAAAACCGACCCATCCAGCTAAAAACACCCCCATTACACCATATTGTGCTATTTTCTGCTACCTTTAGAGTGAGAGAAAGAGTTCTAGGAGGAGAAAGTGATCCTCACCAAATCACTCCTCAATCCTTGCCCAGTCTTTGAAGATTATCAAGTAAAGGCTACTAAGCCTTCTTTCTAAGAGGTAAAAATCCGCGCCCTAGCTCTAAATTTTGAAATTCTTCTAAGAATGGAATAAGTAGTAAGTGGGTTCATGGGTATAAGCATTGATTACCTTGCATGCATGTATGATAAAACGGTAGGGGGAGATTGTAAGCTAAAAATGTAACGAATGGGGTGTAGGATGATAGAATCTTTCACAAAAAGGTCTTAAAATCATAATGCACACTTAGTGCTTGATGATGTGCTCAAAAGAGCTAAAGTCTTGATCATCTCTCTAATATTGGTTCGATTTTTAATGTTCATAAAATAGATCAAAGTTGCTAAGGGTTCCGAAATTATTATAAGAATTTAAGGAAAGCTCTATCGAGGTATGTATGGCTAAACCTCTTTCTTCTTAGAATCGAATCCCTGGTGTTCGTGTAATTGGCGTAAGTTCCTAAATTGATCATACAAGAATCGTTGCCCTAAAGTGTGGCGTTGAAAGATTTATGTTCAATGATTGTTCTAAATGCTTATCATGTCGTCATGCAACTTGTGAATATGTTTACAAACGTGGAATATGTATTGAGAAAGGCTAAGAATTTATGTCAAAGAAATTCAATAAAGATTGTTGTGCCAATTTGTATATGAAAAGCCCCCATGTGCTTACAACTTCCAAGCTCTTCCCTTGTGTGTGAAAATGCCTTATATGATAGGCCTTATTGTTATTGATAATAATGTTATTGCATATGTAAAAAGGGAAACTGGAATTATGAAATGCGGCCAAATGCCAAGATTGACTTAATGATATAAAGCAACTCGTGCCGATGTATTGAAATATGGAATTGTGGATTTGGTTGACGTCTCAAGGGAAATGGCCTAGCCGATCGGGCCGTGATCGGACGCCATGCCGCGCACATGGTGGCGACTGTGCTGGAAATGATTGACTCGGAATTGTGGATTTGGTTGACATCTCAAGGGAGATGGCCTAGCCGATCGGGCAGTGATCAGACTCCGTGTAGGAACACGGTGGTATTG